GAATTTTATGTAGAAGAATATGTGTGTGTGTGTGTGTGTGTGTGTGTGTGTGCATGTGTATAAGTGTATAATACATATGAAAGTATGTTTAAAATACTTTCTTGAATGCACCGTTTTAATCTTGATTTTAATATCTCAATAGACAGATATACACGAACTAGATAGACATTCTTTGTATAATTTCGCAGAAAATAATTTAGCTTATTTTCCAAGAAAAATCGCGAATAAAACATATGGAGATATATCTAAAATAGCATTTGACTGATCGAAGCATTTTGTTTCTTGAAGGAAGCAGCATTCTTTAATCTTCATTTAAATATCTTGACAAACAGATATATATATTAATTAGATTTTTCGTATAATTTCACAGAAAATAACTTAGCCTAGTTTCCAAAAAGAATCGCGAACAAAATTAAAGAAATATCATTTACAGAAAAATTTATTTATAATTTTACACAGGTGAAGCGTGTATGTATAAATACGTATGGAAATATATGTAAAATAGCATTTTGTTTCTTATAAAAGAAGCACCTTTTTTTAATCTTCATTTAGATTTTGACGGACAGATATCTTATACAAATTAGACAGACATTCACGATATTTCGCAGAAGAAAGAAAAAAAGATGCATCTACAAATCTTACAAATCTTAATTAAAGCTAACCGGCAGTCAACTATTTCCCATTCTCGCGGGCGAAAGTGAAATGAGTTGAATCTCGGTTAACTTTAACCACCATTTACGGGGAATTTACGGTCGACGGATGTGCTAAAACAGCGTGCGTTTAGCGTGCGTGTGTCTAAGAGACGACCGGAAGCAGGTGCGACCGCTTCCACAGGCCGTCGCGCCCAGGAAGACACCGTACACCAGAGCGGTCCAGACTATCACGCCGACCGCAGCGGCCGCCAGTATCAGATGCGCTCGATGACGAACGCGATCCAGGATCCGCAGCATCCACTTGCGGTCCACCGCTCTCTCAGGAGACGCCGCGCGGTGCAAGGATGCGGTCGCTGCGTTCTAGACATGCGCGGTTATCAGAGAACGTCCGGAGAACATAAGCCAACCTATTAATTTCACTTCAAAATGAAAACAAAAGGAAGAAGAGGAAGAAGGAAAGGGTGAGGGAGAGAACGTGAAATTCTCGCGACCGACTATTTCACCCTTCGGTGCCGAACAACCCGTTGATCGCGTCGATCGCGTTAATCTTTGAAGCGCGCAAATTGCACGTATCGCACGACTGATCATCTTTTCGACGGAGATGCGGCAGATAAAGGGGTACTAATAGCCGATTAATCGAGAAACTCTGAATAAGATTTGCTAGGAGAATCTGCTTTTCTTTCCCATTCCTACCGCGTTCGTCACTTCGTCGATTCGCCTCGCTGCTACTTGCTGCGTCTCGTACGGCTTGCCGTATAACTCGTTGTTGCTCGCCCGCTGTACTACTCTGCCTTCCATCTCGTATACCTCGCCGTAGACCTCGTGAACTTCATTGTTGTCGGGCAAATCGTACTTTATTTTACTGGGCGTTTCGTGCATCCACTCGCGCGCACCGTCGCGCGCGTTGCTTACGGTCAGAAAATGCTCGTGCTACGGCAAAAAGATTCACTTATGCAAAATCACCGTCAATTGCGAATTGCCAAAAGAAATCCTCTCAGCTTCCCACGCGCGAGATCATCCCGTTTCCCGAAATCTTGATAATATTAATATCTCCAAGCGGCGACCCCGAGAAGAATTGTGGAACATATTTTCGGAGCTATTTAAAGCGCTGAGAGTGCGCTGTTATTGTTATTAATAAAACAAGAGCTGACAATGCAAAAAGAGAATAATAGTGACAGGTCAAAGGTGAAGGAACGGAACCAAATAACGTGCAAGATTATAACGTCCATCATGATATAATTTAGTTTCCCCATTTTTCCATGAAAAAATAATAGTTATAAATAAAAAAAAATTTACAATGCAAATTTGAATAATTCAATTCTCTCTCTCTCTCTC